TATCGAAAAAAGATCAAAATTTATGCGGAACTACTATTTTCCTAGTAGTAAAATTTACCCCATCCCTAGAGGGTAACAGGCCCTATGAAAAGTTGGTAATGCATCACTGGACCTTTCCAGTCATGATTATTTTATGATTTTACAGGACATGTATATCTAACTGGAGATTTTTAAAAGCAAATATCCCTCTTTGTATCCCAACCTTTGAAGTCTCGTGGAGTGGGATCATGTATGAATGTTCGCAACGTTTATTCTTGACAGCACTCTAGCAGCTTCATTCTTTGATGGATTTTGGTCAAAATTCACTTTTGTAAAGTCTCATTATATCTCTGTTGTATTCGAATTTCGGGGTTCTAAGGCCAAGGTTATGGTCACTTACTATTTTTAGAAAATCCTTGTCAGCACAATCAACTTTTTTCTTAAGAGCTGACGAATTAACCTATAAGCATGAAACAGGACAATTTTATCTTAGACGAGTTCGAATTTCGGGGTTCAAGGGTCAATTTCAAGGTCATCGTTATTGTTTTTTTTAAGGTCATTTGACCGGAAGGACTAAGAGTACCTATCGGCATAGTCATCGTGCGCAGTGCGTAAACTTTCTATTCAAACAGCTGCTACCCAATTAGGCCTGTAGCATATTGGGATGAATGCTACAAAGTTTGTTCAAATGAACAGTAATGACCCGTTTTCAATATGGGGGTCAAATATCCATAATACGTGCATCTTAAAACAATTTCTTCTCAATAAGCGAAAGGCACATGGTGCTTTTATTGGGTCTGGCGCATGCTGAGATGAAAAAATTCAACATTTGATCAAATTAATGACCTTGGCCCATTTTCAAGGGCAAAGAGGTCAAATGTATCTTCAAATGACTTAACAATGACCAAAAGCCACAGGAATTTTGATAATTGGCCTGTAGCATGCTGAGGTAAAGCGCTCCTTACTTTGTTCAAATGTTTGACCTTCACTAACTTTTAAGGTCACTGAGGAGGTCGAATGTGTTAAAATCTTCGAAATAACTTCTTTACAATGACCAAAAGGCTTCGGCTATTGATATTGGCTCTGTAACATAATTGGATGAAAGGTTACAAAGTTTGTTAAAATTATTTACCTTGACACACTTTCAAGTTCACAGGAGGTGTAAATGTGATTATATCTTATAACGATTATTTTCTAAATAAACAAAAAGCCCAGTGAGTTGTTGTTGAGTCTGTAGCATACTGAAATGAAGATCTACTATGTTTGTTCTAATTAATGATCCTGATAAAGTTTCAGGGTCACATGAGTAAAATGTGTTGAAATCTCCTAATGACTTCTTCTCAGTAACCGAATGGCCCAGGCTACAGGTATAGGTTCTGTAGATATTTCGATGAAGGGCTACTAATTTACTCATATGATTGACCTCGACCCACTTTCAACTTCACAGGGTCTAATGTGTTGAGAACTTCAAATTTCTTCTTTCAACAAGCAATACGCTCCGAAGAATGATATTTGTGTAGTGGCATGCTTGAGAAATAATGTCTTCTGTTTAAGCAGTAGGACCAGTGTGCGATTCAAACCAATATGGTCTTTTGTTCGATTTTACTCTTAAATATTCTGAATCTGGACTGTTTTAATCATCCTACTGCTACTCCTTTTCATACAAAGGTTTTTATAGTCAGATGAACAGTAAACCCCATGGACCTCTTGTTTTGAGGAAATCCTTATAAAAAGCTCTAGCAGCTCCATTTCTTTTTGAAATTTCAATCACACATTACACACTTATAAAGAAAAGCATTTATCTCGGATGAATGGAAATTTCCGGGTTATAGGGTTATGGTAATGGTTATTATTACCTGAAAATCAGCACTAAATCAGCTTTATTGCTTGAGTATACAATCCCCTGAAGTGTTTTCCTTAATAAATTATAGCAAAACTTTCTCCTCCTTCAAAACAAACAGGGATTACAGAGGTTATGAAATTTATAATTTGGAAAAAGCATCTTAGAACCTATCCAAAAGTTTTTACTTCTACAGTTCTCAGCCTAGAGAAGATTTTGATTTTGATATAAGCAGATTCACCATAGGGGGGATTGGAATCATACAATTTTCAACTTCAGTTTGTCATTGACCATGAAAACTTTCTGAAAATTTTTACTGATGTCACTGAAGTGTGAAAATGTTAACGGATGATGATGAATCAGAAAAGTCTGCAAAAGTAAGCTAAAATAACAAATGTGTTGGTCAAACTTCATTCAAATGATTGGAAGTTTCCACTGAATTATTCAAAGCATTATGTGCCAAAGGTAACTAAAAACTAACATGACTTCTTAATCTGAATTTCCTAGATAATCCCACTGAAACATTTTATCTTAAAGGCACCAACAGAACCGGTGAAGTTTAAATTTGTGTTTTTCAAGACGTCAGTCATGCTTGGTTTTGGACTAATCTGAATTAGCAACACATTAGCATATCGTAAAATCATTCTGATGGAACTTAATAGTAAACTCAGTGGAAGTAGAAAATATTTGTTGTTCAGGAAAGTATGACTGTGTAATCATTATACATATTATACACCATGACTGCCTTGTCTGACTTTTGACCAGGTTGACAAATAATTACACTCTAATGGCTTCCTTTCCTTAACACTGCCATCGATTCTCTAAGGTAAACCTACTGATATCATTGGAAAAGTTTAAACATGTTTTCCAATATGGTGACCAACAGATATTGTGGGAGACTGGAGATAAGTCATAGCATATCGACCACAATAAGAATTTTCCAAGAAAATGGAAAAATTCTCTAGTTGAACAACTTCGAAAAGGCAAAAGTATTGAGCATGAAATATATCAAAATCTACTAAGTTGTTTGTTATAAGGCACATCATACATTTCTCCAAACACTTTGTGGCTGGTTGGCTTGTTCCACAATCAGTGCAATTTCCCTTGTGAAGAATGGTTGTATAGAATTATTTTTCTGACTTAATCACCAGGTACTATTATTAATATCAAGCGGACACTTTTGTGATCAGCATACCATTTACACAGTTGTACACAGTGTTAGATTTGTAGAAACTGATTATCATATGAATATAAAACAATAGTTAAGAAAACAAAGGGATGAAAAGTATTTGATTGTATCACTATTAGATAAATAGATGCTGTGTTAATTAATCAGTTAAGTATCAGTGATTAACCCAACATAATGATCAAGGATTGGAAACACTGGTGAAATCATAACTACTCGTCCTGATTCTCCATAGCAATGTTTGATTAACAGTATACCTACTAAATCACTGTCCTCATAATGACATTATTCTTGGTAATTGAAACTACTGTAAAGCTACATGTCAATAATTTTGTTATTTAAGAATTAATCAATATCATCATCCTGGTTGTAGTCTTCTATTCTTTCTATTTGTGATAATACAGGACACAAGCTCATCATACCTACAGGGTTTGTCTTCAGTGAACCTGGAACACATGTAGATGTAACTGTTGCCTTTGAAAGAAATTTGACACCAAGAAAGAAGACTTGTCAACTCTTCATCAGCATTTTCTATATCTAGCATGTTCTCTGTGTTTGAAAGGTGAAGATTTGTTTTCCTTAATGCTGCATCGCCCGAGTTGTTCACTAGAGCTGTGTTGTCTCTCCTAAACCTTTTTTCTGGCTTGGGTTCATCAGCTTGTGACAACTGATTCTGTCCATTAAGAAAGCCATATCCAGGCTCAATTAATTTTGAGGAGATTGCCAAAATGCCTTCATTGTCCATTGTAGATTCTGTCTGGTCTATTCCTATTTTCTGGTTCTTGTCTTGATGATGCTGTCTGTTTGTCTTCAAATTCATCTTGGGTCTTTGCTCCTTTACCATTTGATGGCTTGCTTTGCATTTTCTTTAAGAACTGCATGTGGTAAAAGAGAAAGGAAAGATATACCAAATGCAATACAAGTTATCAAAATATTTCAAAATTTATCGGAAATTTATTTCAAAATTAAGATATTTCACAAACTGCGAGTCAATATATTCGGAGGATATTACTTTATCAAGAGGACTGTAATGGTTACATAGTTTTGTAGTTACATGTTTTGTAGTTGTTTCAATGTTCAAGGAATTCCTGATATCACAATTTTCATGCAAGGTGTTAGCAACTGACAGACAAGCTCATAACACCAGGTTTCAAGAGATGCAGGCTGTTGAAATTACATGGGTATCAAGTTTTACAGTTAGCATAAAGATCAGAATTGGGAAATATTCTATTTCCTTGTATGATACGAAGTCAGACATGCTTGATGCCCATTAGTATACCTAATGGTTCCAATGTTCAAGTGACATTACTTACTTTGATCGACCAAGATTTACATGTCTGGTGTCGTCAATGAAGCTGGAGACGCTTATTCTTTGGGAACACCCTTTTTTTCTACCTGTAGTATTTTCAGGAGTCTCCTTGTAAATATTTGTTCGTATTTTACACCAGTTAAATTGAATTTTGAGTTAGAAATAAATTTCTGTTTACATATTGGTATTTTCTTTATTTATGCACCAATCATTTGTCTTCTTAATGTGATATGTTTTTCTTTTACACAGCTATTGTAAATTGTGAATACATTGCAGACCTACATAACATTTAGGTCCCTAATCAGACAAACAATTAGTATGTTAGTTTTGTAATAAAGAAAATCACAGACGATGTCATCATTGTTGACTTTAAAAATAATGATAAAAATCAATTTCTTGTGGAAGAAAAGGTCAAAGGTCACACACAGTTTCTCCAAAACAATAAAATGCCTTAAATACACAATTGATTCTGTAAATCGTCTTTCGGTCTTGCGTTACTAAAACAGGTACGGTTGTTTTATGTAACACATCTTCATTTTCCCTTTAAAATGATGTTTTCCGATTCTGGCTTATCCTGCCCAATTCTGCCTGATGCTGTAAATCGTCTAACCCGTCATCTTTATATTCTTAATAAGTCAAATATTTTACCGGAAGCGGAAATGGTTAGTTGAATAAGAACCAAGAACGGACAGACATACTTAAACCGGAGATGGATGTATCTGACGAAGATGAAGATGTTATTTTTGAAGTAAGTACATATCCATGTAGTAAGCTTCTTTTGTAACACTAAATATTTACAGATGATTACATAGTTAAAACTTAAAATATTCTTTCAGCACTCTCCCCTTCACCAAAGCCTGAAAGAAGCTGGTTTGAAAGATGCTGATCTTCATCTGTGTAAGGGAGCCGCTGTTCAACTTTCAAGATCGACATGCAAAGAGGCGAGTAAAACATGTACAATGACGTCAACGTCATGTTCAGGCATAGAAAAACCTCTTAAAGACCTTTATACAAGCTCACTCTGATATTACTCAGGGATGTATATTATTACTCCGTATCTTACGTCCCTGTACTGCAGTAACATTTAACTGACAGGTAAATATACATCTACTTACACTCATCAACCAACGCTGTTTTTTTCTTCTTTTTGAAGCTCATGCATTAGTACTGTTACATTCAATAATAATGAATTATTTATTAACAGATTATTCATTTTTCACATTTCATATTTGGCCAATTTTCAGAAATCAGTAAAATCAAACTTTACATTGGATTATGCTTATAAACTATAGAAGATGGATTCTAGAATTTCTTTACTTATTTAATGCAATACTTAAAAAAAATGGAGAGTTTTCAGTGATTCAGAAATTCGGAAATATTACTTTATTTTGATAAAAATAGGAATGTATACTCCTATTTTTTATTGAAAATTTACACTACTGTATTCAGCATATAGAGACGTAATCAGCCTGTTTTGAGATGTAAAGCATAACAAGTAAAAAAAATCCTGAGGATGTCTGTAATTGTGGAAAGAGGGTCATCATCGTGACTTCCAGAGATCCCGAAGATTAACGAACGGTCACGTGCCAAGCACCACCACACACTCCGCCTTACAGTATTGCAGAGGTCCCGTTGGGCGCCAATGTTACAGTTCTTGTTTTCTAGCTAAAGAACACAAGGACCACTGGGTGACAAAAGCTAAATGCTGATCTTTGCAATATTGACATAATCTTGCTTCTTCTGACATTGAAAAACTGTGCTAGATATAGTTGCCTCATTAGTACTGGATAAGAGTAACTACCTCAAAAAAAATTGACAAGTTTAGATAGGGAAGTTTACACTTAGTAACTCTTGACCTTGGGTTGCAGGTGTTTGTGTTGACCTCTTGGTCTAACTGCAATAAAGTACCTGTAAGCCATATATCAATTCAACAATTTTTCAAAGCAAAAAATATAAATATAGATGAAACAGTTTAAAATATGTGATAATTACCAGTCACTGCATTGGCTTGTCATATACTTAATATCTAATGTTAACAGAAATACAGAAAGCAAATAACACCAAATATTAATTAAATAAATGTTTGAATTTCACCTTCTTTTTCTTTTGCTGTTAAATTTAGGAGGTACCTCAAAGATGGAAGCTGTCATTGGAATCAATGAGGAGATTTATAATGACTTTCCTGGGACTCACAATACTTTCACAGGACCTACAGAGACTGGTGGGTAATCAGATTGTACTAGTTCCAGGGTTTTCCGTAAGAGCCGGTCGCCGGCCAATTTGATCCGCTACCTTGATCATTTGGCCGCCTACACCAATCCAGTTCAATAAAAATGTTTCGTACATGACTACACGTACACAGCAGGCCAGCCTCCTACTTTCACTACACAGCCTACTACTAACAAAATTATGGAAAACCTTGTAGTTCTGATGTGTGGGATCAGGGGTCATGCTTTTTTTTAAACCTATACCAAAACTTATACCTGGATACATATATTTTTATAGACCTATATATTTTCAGAAACCAATAGTTTAAGGATGATGCTGTGATAAGATATATATATATATATATAATTTATGTAATGTTTGTCTCTTGATAAAGGAGCAGGTTGCCTCGGAAATTTGACAATTTGCATGTCCGCACTGTTGCTATCACCTCATTGATCATATATAGTTATAGGAATAGTTAGTTGTGATCCTCATTAATTGAATATTTATTTGGTAAAAACCAAACAAACTGGATAGTTTGTAAGTTTTAAATTTAAGTCCTTTTTAGTGAAAAATCTATCTATAAACTTCACCTACATAAAGAAAATCAATATATAAGTAAAAAAATATACTAAAAATACTCTGTTGTGGTGTCCTTATCTTATACACAAAGATCTATGTCATTTTGGATTGATTTATTTGAAAGATAATTGTTTCCAGTTTAATGTTAGAGTTCACTTGCAAATTCTGGTTTTCTTTTGTTAAGAATTAACTTGTTTGTCTTTATATATTAAATCAAATGTATAATTTTACTACACCACACCTGTAAAGTTATGCATTGTCTACAAAAAGTACTGAACAGTTATTATTGATCCAACAATACATCATTTTAACTGAATTACACAGGACTGATGTGACAACAACAGAACAAAACAGGTAATAATTTCATAAAACTTATGTAGATGACCAGATATGAAGATTTGGTGGCATCTACCATAACTAGGTCAGTGTTACCTGTATTTTAAATTTCATGAAAAGAAAACTATTTTTTATTCTTTCTAAAAGCCCTCTCCCATACTATTTTGGCATTGGACTTTCAATATTTATTGTTCTTGTGAGGCATCCTCAGAAGACTATGTGCTTCATACATAAAACAGTCACTGTGACTTATGTTTTCAACAAACGGCTTCCAAGGTATATCAGATGTTCTTGTCACATAAATTATCTTTATTTTGTTATATCCTAGGAAGATTGTTGTCACATACCAAAAGTAGGTCATTATGATTAATATTGCAACCTTTGACCTCAGCAAGTAATAGATATTGGTCATTCCCATGGCTGAAGCGGTATCTTGTAGGATCTTTAGTGGGTATATATTAGGAAGGTGGTGTGTATTTTGTGTTAAAGACAGAAAACCTCAGGGGTCAAAATTAACTTATTTTAATCACTAGCAAACCATTGCAAGTGCCTAAAATTTCCACTAGCAAAAATGATGAACAAACTAGCAATTTTTTGGTGAATAGGTTTGACTTTCATTTACTGATATATTGAGTTTTTCAGGAACTGAGTGATATTGGAAAAGATATCAAAGACATTAGATAAGAATGGCTGATTGCATCATTACTAGATGATTTGTTGTATCCTAGACTAATATTCAATTCTTTTTCCCATTTCCGTACCGTTTTTAACGTGGCCGTATATGCACGTGGTTGTGATTTTTGTATCAGCAGCGTCAGGAGAAACACTCTCCGATTTCGACGATTTTTTTTCAGAAGGGCCAGGCTGTGGCTGTTGACTATCGTCTAACCTAATTACTCATTTAAAGGCAGATGGAGAAAGGCATTTTGTGGCAGATGTTTCGTCAAAAATAGTGATTAGGTATATTTCATTTCCACTTGCAAAATTTTTGCTAGTTCATTATTTTCCAGCTAGCAATAAACAGATTTTAGCTGGCATTTTGCTAGTTGTATATAGTTAATTTTGAACCCTGAAACCTTAACCTATATTTTTACTTTTGACCTATATATTACCTTTATGTATTATCAAGTGGAATCAGGAGTAGTAAGCTCTTCTTATAATGTATCGATATCTGGTCTGTGTGTCTCATTCTCTCAAAATATTTCATTTCTTTCAGACACGTTTTTACAATGCAGAAATCTTGAAATTGATACTGAAGTCAAAACTAATGACAGAAGAGGATATGGACTTTCTGAATACAGCGTTACCTATACGGGACACCCTTACTCACAGTATCACAGTCAGACCTACAGTGTAAGCATACAAATCTGTACTAATCCAAAGCATACTCCCTGGAATACTAAAAAAATATGTCTGCTATTGGTTATCAGACAAATATACCACCTGACAGTAAATCCTAATTGCTGTTTAACACACTGAAGGAATGCTTTGAAGGGATTTTAGTAAATTTTGGCGTTTACTTTGCTTGTATATTTACAGCTGCACTTTGAAGGTGCAATAAATTTTGTAAGCCATTATATAACTTTTTATGATATTAAACTTATACATATATTTGTATGTCTTTTGTAAAAGAAATATTTATCACAAAGAAATATGCTATGTTAATTGCTGATACCCGGTATTCTAAAATTGATTTCATATCATTACATGAATTAATAAAAAAGTTTTTCTACCATGTTTTCTTAATGATAATTTTCGGCAAATAATTGAAAAAATAGAAATGTTTGCCATTGTATCAACAGTTTGGTAACATTGTCCCTGCCTTGTCTCCTGGCCTACTTGTATGGGCGAGTAGTCTACCCAGAGATGCCATGGAAATTCCGCAGTCTGACCGATGTGATGGCTTTTCTGTGTCTGTGTTACATGGTAGCAGTGATCTTGAAATGGGTTGTGTTGTATCATCATCAGTCAAGGTTAACCCGAGGCTCCAAGCACATCCGCCGACTTGTCAGCTCCTGTGAGGGACTGCTGCGTATCACTGCCCGATCTCTACGACTTGTCCAGGAAGCAGAGCTTGTAGCCCGGGGATTTACCCTGTAAGATGTGTGATCACTGTATCTTAACCATGTAACATTAAATTGTGGGATTTGTCAACAAGACATTTGTTCATATCTATATATATCTTTATATTTGTGACAACTGTTGTGAGTGTCTGCTCTTAATCATCTCTGTAGGACTGAGATCAGTGCAGAGTGTCTTTACTGTCAAACATCTAGTTTGTGAAACATATGATCAGAAGAGAGACAATCATCTTAATTCAATCTTGTTCTTTTTTCTTGTAGCATTTGTTATTACAGTGTCAAGTGAATTTTTTTGATAGGGTGAGTCAGCAGACACCAGTAAGCAGACTAGAACAGAATAGTCTCCACAGCACACAACGACAATGTCCACAGCTGCGTGCTTTGCTCTTCCTTGTTTCAAGGAAGGCCATGCTTTTAGCTAAAGATAAGACCATGGCCCTTATCAACTGGTATCTTTTTATCACACTGTTAGTCACACAGTTTTTACTCTTATTGTTCAGCTGTTAAGGAAACCATAACCTCTGTCATTTTTGTTATTCTCAGTTGTTCCTGTTTCATTTATTTTTAAATACAATACTGAATTTTTTCCCATTCGTCAAGATATAGGACTTTGGTTTGTACTGTAAAGAATACATATGTTTGGGTAACTTGTAGATATAGGACTTTGGTCTGTACTGTAAAGAATACATATGTTGGGGTAACTTGTAGGACTTTGGTCTCACTGTCTGTACTGTAAAGAATACATATGTTTGGGCTACTTGTAGATATAGGACTTTGGTCTGTACTGTAAAGAATACATATGTTGGGGTAACTTGTAGATATAGGACTTTGGTCTCACTGTCTGTACTGTAAAGAATACATACGTTTGGGCTACTTGTAGATATAGGACTTTGGTCTGTACTGTCTGTACTGTAAAGAATACATATGTTGGGGGTAACTTGTAGATATAGGACTTTGGTCTGTACTGTAAAGAATACATATGTTGGGGTAACTTGTAGGACTTGGTCTCACTGTCTGTACTGTAAAGAATACATATGTTTGGGCTACTTGTAGATATAGGACTTTGGTCTGTACTGTCTGTCTGTAAAGAATACATATGTTGGGGGTAACTGTGTAGATATAGGACTTTGGTCTGTACTGTAAAGAATACATATGTTGGGGTAACTTGTAGGACTTTGGTCTCACTGTC